CCCCCCTGTGGCCGTCAGCTCCCCAGCCTCTCGGGGTGTGTGGGGTTAGGGGCCTGTGGGTCTGTCCACAGGGTCCAGTCCCGCACAGACCAGCCTGGCCGTCCCTGACGCCGCAGTGGGGACAGGGTCCAGGTGGTCCAGGAACTGCAGGGAGGACACGCCCCCCCCCCCAGAACTGAAGGCACCTTGGGTGACCCGATCTTTCTAATTTGACCCCTGGATTTTCAGGGAAGACAAAGCACATGAAATAAGGCTGCCCCTGGGTCTGCGTGGGCTGCACCGTAGGGCACTGTCCCAGCTCAATGGTCGGGGGCCGCAGGCGGGAAAGGCCAGTCGCTCAGGTGGCGGGTTGGGGGGGCGTCATGCAGGTGTCCTGGGATTTCTGGTGGCAAACGGCGCACCCATGACACGTGTCTGGTCCACACTCGGTGGGGAAGGAGCACGGCTCACCAGGGCTCGCAGACCCGTTCTTCTGAAGGTGTGACCTGCGCCTGCACTGTGCACTGAGCCCCCGCGGTGAGCCCCCCTGCGCTGAGCCCCCTGCGGTGACCTCCCCCCTGCAGTGGCCCCCCCTGCGGTGACTACCCCCCTGCGCTGAGCCCCCCCTGCGGTGACCCCCCTGCAGTGACTACGCCCCCAGCGGTGGCCCCCCCTGCGGTGACCCCCCCATGCTGAGCACCCCCTGATGGCGGGACAGGCTGGGGACAAAGGGTGGGCAGGCAGGCGGGGACTCATGGTCCTGGAAGACGCCCAGTAAGGTGATCATAGGAACAAGCGGGTTAGACGCAAGCGTTTGCAAGGCGGCGGGTGGCGGGGAAAGGAGGGGGTCACGAGTGGCACGTCGGAGGAGAGGCCGCCAGGCCCTGTGTCTGGCCTGAGACGGGCCCGGGACGGGGCAGGGGCCGCCAGAGGGCCCCCCTTGGAGGCTGGGCCAAGGACGTCAGGCTATCGTCAGAGCAGAGGGGCTGGAGGGGGAGGTGCGGGGGCGAACGGTGTCCCCCAAATCCAAGTCCACCGGCGCCTCATTAGTGACGGTTTAGACAAAGGGCCTTCACAGATGCAGCTCAGGTGAGGGCAGGAAGCACCTGTACGGCGCTGGGAGGGCTTGCACCCCACGGTGGCCTTGTAAGGGCAGAGGAGGACTCGCCGGGGCTCGGGAGGAGCCGTGTGCAAGCGGACGGGGGGCCACAAGCCCGGGAAGGGGGGCGAGGCCCGGCCCCGCCCGCACCTTGACTGGGACCTTCAGCTTCCAGAACAGAGGAGGTAAGTTCCCCTGGTTTGTGATAATTTGGGAAACAACACAGGTTGTCAAAGGAAAGGAAAGTGATTTCACGCATCAAAGCCCAGACGACACAGACCCCGAGCTCCCGGCCCCTGTTCTGGGGTCTGCTCTCCTTGTGCCTTGGTTTCCCTGAACATTCCACCAGCCCCCCCCACCCCCTATCATTGGTGTCCCTCCCACGGCAGAGGATTAAGACACGTGTCTTCTCAGGAAGTGGCTGGGGTCCCCGTTGTCCCTGAAGTTCTCTGCGACGAGTGGAGGCGGGAATAGCGCCTGCTCCGCTGAGTTCACGTGCATGTCGCTCTGGGTTCTGGACTCTTCTCTCTGTGGGCAGGGTTGGCTTTCAGAGGGGAAGACCCATGCTTCTGGGATGCATAGGTGATCACAGGTTTTACATTCTGTTTAAGTTTTAAATGTTTCCTCTGTATTAAAATCATTTTAATACATGATTGCTCATAATTTAGATAGTTGACTGACAGTTTACGGTTTATAAATACAATGCCGACAGCTCAAAACTCATTGTCTGGAGCAAAGTAAACACCTTCTGCGCGGCCTCGCCCCTCGTTCCCATGGCGACCGGCTCCTCTGCCTGCAGGTGTTTCCAGCACCTTCTCTGGGCGTTTCTGAGGCCCCGAGCTGAAGAGATTTCCTTTCTCTTCCTGTTAGTCGTAATGGTCGACGTGGTGTAGCAGAAAAGCTACGTCGCCCTGGGTTTTCCTCGTGAGAACAACGTCGAGCTGCAGGGCCCCTGCTGCGGTTCGCCGTCTCCCCCCGCCCCCGGGTCCGCGGCGGCCCCCTGTGCTTGCCCCTGCGCAGGGGCGGCCCTGCGTGTCGGGGCCCAGAGACCGCAGGCCGCCGAGCGCACCCTCGTCTGGAATCTAAACCAGAAAGCACTCACTCCAGACCCTCAGCCTGGGTGTTAGTCAGACTCTGGTGGCTGGCACGAGCGGAGGCGCAGGGGGCACGGCCCGCTGCCCGTGAGGGGTCCCAGGGCGGCCGCGGACCGACTGCCGTCAGCGCCCGCCTCTGCTGGGCCCCGCCGCGGGCCCCGTCTCCCAGAGCCTCTGCTCAGCGGGAACGCGAACCTGGGTGAGCGTCCAGGGCACGTCGTCGGCTGCCCCCCCCCCCCCCCCCCGGAAGAGGCCAGGAGCACCAGGCCCCGTGGAAGAGCGGCCACCGGCCGGGCTGGGTCAGTCACTTGTGCGGCTGGCGGGAGTACGGCAGCTTTGATGGGAACGAGGGCCTGGAGCGAGGAGGGGCGCTTCTCACGGCTCGAGAGGCGGCCAGCGCGGGTGGGCAGCTGCTCACGCGCAGCGACACGCGGCCCCAGCGGCCGTGCAGACGGGCCAGGTGCCCCTCCACGGCCGTGTCTGAAGGGCCGTTGCATTTCCACACGCGTGTAACCACGCCGCACGCAGCTCCTGCGCAGGAAGGACACGGGAACAGAGCCCCGCGTGTGCCAGGCCCTGGGAGCACTGGCCAGCCGCCCGGGCTTCCTTCGCTACCAAGTTACTTTACCCGCCACTTTCTCCGGCTTTTGATCCGCTGACTTGAACGTGACCTCCGCAGCCCCCAGTGGCTCCCCCCGACCGGAGGCTGTTTCCTCCAGATCTGCCCAGAGCGTCCGCGTGGAAACGCACTTCCTGCAGTTGTTACTAAGTGTCTGAAGTGTCAGGTTGTCCATAAAGCAGGAGGGGTGCCTCTGTTCCCACCACTCTCCGGAATCTTCCACCCAGGGCACCTGTTTGGTCCACGGACACAGACGCGCCTTCCCTTCCCGCAGGAGCAGGGACGGGGCTCCCAGCAGCGGTGACCCTGGGCCCTGGGCCACCGGGCGTGGGGCTGTCTCCCGCCTAGCTGCTCCCCGCGGCGTCCGGACCCCCTCCCATCCTGTGGCACGTGCTGGCAGAGGCCCCCTCGCTGCCGCCGCTGTGCACGCCCCTGTGCACCATAACCCTAGGGGCCCAGGTCTGGAAGGAAGTGGGGGCCCGGCCCCTGCCCACCCGTGGCACTGGGGTCGCTGCAGCGCTCACCCCGACATCGACAGGTGGGTCCTGCCCAGGAAAACAGGCTCCCGCAGGGCAGACTCTCCCTGTCCCCTGAGGAATGTGCTGCCCCGGGTCACCTCCGGTGGCCCCCACCCGACCCCGGCCCTCCCGAGGCGATCAGCTCTAAGACGAGGCGGGTAGGAGGCTGGCGGCCTGTGCGTTCAGCACAAGGCCTGCGCCTGGAGCCACACAGGCTCCTCCAGCACAGACACCACGGTGCCCGGGTGCCAGGTTGGAAAAAAGCAGCTGAGATGGGTTGCATTCCTCAGGGCGCCCAGCAGGGGGTGCTGTGGGCCAAGGAAACTGTGGCTTTGGTGGGTCAAGTGCCCAGGCCTTGTCACAAAGCCTGGTCCTGCCCGTGGGAGCCGGGTCGGCGGTGAGAGCCGCCCCGGATGGACGTGCCTGGGCCAGGAGGCGGCCACTCCCACTGCGCTCACACAGGTTCACGCAGGAGGCCGATGCCGCCAAACAGCTGACCCGGGACGTGGGGTGGGACGCGGGTGCCGCGGGGGCGGCACTGGTCCACTGAGACGCCCCGGGACTGCGCTTCCGCCCCTCCTGACTCTGCTGTGCCGGGTGACGTGGGGCAGGGACCTCGCTCGGGGCCCTCTGCGCCCAGGAAGGAGGGCGCTGCACAGGGCGGCCCGCGGCCGTGCGCGAGGCTCTCCAGGGGACACTGCCCGCAGACTCCCGTGCTCGTGGAACGGCCTGAGGGACAGGGGAGCCGGGCGGCACACCCGGCGGGCCCGGACCGGAGCTGACGGCCCCGGACGCTGGTCCCGTGCGGACAGGCCTCCAGCTGACGTGTCTGGGAGGGTCACAGAGATACTGTCACAGGTCCTGAGTGCAAAGCAGCCGGAGTCGCCCACTGGCACGGGCAGTAAGGACGTCGTGCGAGCGGACAGCTGGCGTGTGCACGGGAGGCCCAGCGAGGGGCCGTGGGGACCGAGAGCTGTGAGGGCCACGTGGCCGTGGGGACTGAGGGCCGTGGGGCCGTGCGGGCCGGGCCCTTCCTCCTGGCTCATTCCGTGTTCACCAGCCCCACTCGCGCAGCAGCATGAAGCACACGGGACCCAGGGCAGGGACGGCGGGGACAAGAGCCTGGAGCAGAGGCCGCGCAGTCACGGCGCCGGCGGCTCTGTGGCCACTGACGCAGGCAGGAGCCTCGGGGGGCAGGCGTCCGTCCGCGTCACCCCATCTCCTCGTGGAAATTGCTTGGAGTCAGAGCCTGTCCTGAAGGCTCTGTCCAAGGGACACGCGGTGTGCACGGCTGTGGGTTCACTATCGTGTCCCGCGTCTGACAGAAATGTGGCTCCTCACGGGAAGGAGACCCGTGAGCTCTGGCCGGAGCGCCTTGGACTGTGGCTGAACTGTCGTCGTTAAGTTGGTATTAACATAATGAGAGTGTGGGGACCAGAGGACCCAGCACCCCTGAGAAATGACAGCATTTTCAGGTCACGAACTCTAGGGCCGCGCTCGCTCGCAAGTTTCCGCGCCACGTCCCCTCCTGGCGCGCGTGGACAGCTGTCCGGGAGCGCGTTCTCCCACTCGCTGACTCCCCGCGTTTCTGGGCGGGCGTGTCTGTGCTCCTGCCCAGAGGGAGGTTTCCCGTCTCCCGGCTGGGCCCAGGGGGGCCGGTCACCTTGGCAGGGACCCCACCTGCCACTTGGTCACGTGGGGTGGAAAATCAGGGTGATGATGAAGCTGCTTTGTGGGGATGACCAGACCCCCGACGCCAGCAGGTCCAGGACCTCAGAGGGCCGCCAGGCTGTTACCTGGGCGGGGGAGCGGGGGGCAGGCAGCCTGTGTCCAGAGCGGGCCGGGCTCTGGGGGCAAGACCATCCTGACAGTCATCCTGCTTCAGCCACTGCCTGGGCAGAGGGCAGCCAGGAGGGGACACAGGCTCGGAGGCCACCCAGGCACAGGCTGCTGGGAAACGGCGCACGGGCAGGAAGCAGGGTGGAAGGGAGAGGAAGGGAGCCAGGAGGAGAGCAGGGGAGACTGAGGCATGACCGCCGTCGACACGATGCCTCCCCGTTTGTCCGGCTGGACGAAGGGGTTGGTAAACACCGTCCAGGCAGCCCCAGGAGTGAGCAGGCAGGTGTACACGTGCGCGCACACGCACAGCCAGACAGTTGTCGGGGGGAGGATTTATTGCCCGCGCTCGAGTGTAACTGGGGCACACGCTAGACTGGCCCAGATGTGGAAAACAGCCTCAGTGGTGACTGGAAACACAGAGCTGTTTCGAGCATCGAATGCAGGGATCGCACACTCGACGAAGTGCAGGTACCCTGCCCTCCGTCCCGTCTCTGTCCCACGAAGGTGCGGGCAGATGTGAGCGACACACCGCCCGGACTCAGAAGCAGCGCACTTCCCACAGGAGGGAAAGGCCCGGTCGTGTGCTTTCCCGAGTGCACGCCCCCCAGTCCCCGACGCGGGCATGTGCTCCCAGGAACCAGCCGGAAGCTGTACTTGCTCACGCCGGGTTCCCGAGCACGCGCCTGTGTTACTGCTGGCAGAGACGGGTCTGGGACGCACAGGCCGGGTCCTGTGGGAGAGAAGCCACTCTGAGCACGCGGACGGACGGACAGGAGCCCCGCCGCGCCCGTGGGTCTCACCGGGCTAATCAGGGGCCCCGCGATCCCATCCTGCACCGGAGCGGCTCCAGGGCCCACCGACCACCTGCCTCTGACAGGTGCAGCCGTGTGACAGTGACGCTATAAAGTCTTACTTATGTTTACACGGTCTCTACGCCCAACGTGTCACTGGGCCTCATGACCTGAGATCAAGGGTCAGGCGCTCCTCCGACCAAGCCGCTGCCCCGAAGTGACCCCTTAATGCGACATCTGTTGATTTACATACAAAGTAAAGATAGTAAAAAAAATCTAGACTGTTCCACACTACTTACTATTATTCCTTTTAAAGTACATTTAAAGGGCACCTGGGGGGCTCAGTCAGTTGAGTGTCCGACTTCGGCTCAGGTCATGATCCCACAGTTCGTGGGTTCGAGCCCCACGTCGGGCTCTGTGCTGACAGCTCAGGGCCTGGAGCTGCTTCGGATTCTGTCTCCCTCTCTCTCTGACCCTCCCCTGCTCTCTCTCTCTCTCTCTCTCTCTTTCAGAAGTAAATAAACATTAAAACAAAATTTAAAAGCGCATTTAAAAGTCAACATTTCCTTTCAGCTCCTGTTCACCGGTGGGTCCTGAGCCAGCAGCCGGGGTGGCCGCCACCGCCAGCCCTCAGGCGGCACAGTGGGAACATTATCACAGCTTCCGCTCTGGTGGCTCATTCTAATTTGTCCACACTTTTTAAAAAGTAGGTTAAGTTTTTCACAAATTATCATTCGCCCATAAATGCGGTTTGTGGGGAGCACTTCCTGGGGGGACGAACCCCCCGCCACGCGCTGACCTACGATCGCCCAGGAGCGCACCCACCTGCTGTGTACCCTGAGTGGAGGTACCAGGCTGCGCGGCGCCCATTTCAGGGCACTTTGCACCACCCGGCCGGGAGGCTCCTCCTCCGCCGGTCCCCGCGGTGCTCAGTGAGGATTTACGGCCCGCCCGCGTCCTGGGGACAAGCACACACCCGGTCACGACTGTCATTCCTCAGAGGGACCCCAAGTGCCCGTCCCTCACGCTGTGCTGCCCGTGCCCAGAGGGGGTGTTGGAGCACTGGGGAGACAGGACGTCCACGTAGAGCAGGGCGGGCACCCTCCCCCATCAGACGAGGACGGCAGGAGGCTGTGGAGCGGGGCCGGCACCGGGAGCCACGGCCGCGGCCACGAAGGCCCGCCTAGACTCCACACCCGCCACCCCCATCTGGCGGCACTTTTAATTCATGCAGAAATGCATTCAGAAAACCACAGTCTGTGCGAGGAAAACAGATTACACGCAAGCCCCCTACGTGCACGGACTTCACTATGAACCTCACGCTCGCTGAGGACGCCCTGCGTTTGCAGAGCCATGAAAGTCTCAGCCGCGCCTGTGCTCCTCTCCTGCTGGGGCCACACCCGGCGGGGGCTGCCCGTCGACCCTCACAGAGCTGGGGCGTCCCCCGTGTGGGGCACACTCTCCCAGGTGGCCGGGGCCCAGAGGAGTCACAGGGAAATTAGGAAATGTCGAGGGACGCATGGAAGTGGACTCAGGACACACTGGGCCCCTGGGCGCAGAGGTGGCCGAGGGCGGAGGGGGACGGTCCCAGTGACACGCGCCTATGTGGGGACGAAGGAAGACCCCAGCCACGCCAGCTCAGTTTGCAGTCTGCGCAGCAGGGAGAGGGAGGACCGGCCGAGCCGGACGTGCAGGAGGAAGGACCAGAGACCAGAGCAGATGGGTCTCACGGGGGGTGTGGCTCAACCTCCCTCCTTCACGCCTGCCTCCGCCTCCCCCCAGGCCCAGCTGTCCTGCGGGACGGGTGCCCCAGGGGCGTGGGTGCCTCCGCCACGGACCGGGACAGTGGACCCTGGACCCAGCATGCTCTCCGGACCCCTCCGCCGGGGACTCGCGGCCACAGGTGTGGGGCAGCCCGTCCCACCCGCACATCCCGCGGAGAGGGGCCGCTCCCCGAGCCGCCATCCTGCCCCAGGGACCCCGGCGTTCCGCCCCACCCGCCTCTGTTTGTATCCCTCTCCTCTGCCTGTCGCTGGAGCTCCCGTCCCGTGGTCCATCTCTGCCTACGGCGCTGGGCGCGGGCAGCCACAAGGGCATCAGGGGACAAAGTGGCGGTGGGCTCGGTTCACAAGGTCCTTTCCGCTCAGAGCAGGAACATGTGTGTGCAGGCGTGTGCAAAGCACACGCGCCCCCGACAGCCACAGACAGGTCACGCCGACTCCCCTCATCAGACCTAATATTCTCAGAACAAGTAGTTTCACAAACAGGTTTTCAGGGAAAGAAAAACACAGAACTTTCTGTGGACAGAGCACTAGGGCGAGCTGTTTCCCTTTCCATTCTCTGTTTTGTGTTTGTCCTGGAATACGGTTCCGGAGGCTCCGTGAGGAGTGGGCAAGGAAGCTGGCTCCCGGGTCCTGCTCCGGGACATGGGGACAGACGGGGCGAGGGCGGGCCTCCGGGAGCCGCTGTGCGGAGACAGGAGCCTGAGAACCTGGCCGTCCAGGCCCAGCCTCCTCGTGAGGCCCTGAGCCTGCAGAGCGTCGTCCGTCCTGGAGGAGGAAGGTCCTGATGGAAGGGCGCTCAGACACACCCTCCACCCGCGGGCTGTACCGCCCACGGCAGCGTCGTTCCCAAGGTCACTTACGACATCCCCCCGACTCAGGACACGACAGCAACAAGCCTTGGGGAGCCACCCTGCCTGCGGAACCCTGAGTGAGGCCGTCCCGTCTCCCGGAAGAAAAGCTCTGGGCAGCAGGCTGGGCCCTTGTCCCCGCTGTGTGTGTCTGGCCCGCAGAGGGCCCCGGGGGGCGCGGGACACAGAGGGGGCCTCAGGGGTTCGGCCCCCAGCGTGGCTGGAGCGGAGGCCGGGAGGCTCCGTGCCTGCAGCCTCTGGGAAGTCCCTGAATCTGACCCGGGGGGAGCAGAGGCCAGGAGAGGAGGCAGTGCCCCAGGCGTGTGGCCGGCCGCCAAGCGCGACACTCGCTCAAACTGCACAAGACGCTGGAGGCCGCTGGGCGAGGCCGTGCAGCCTGGCGGTGAGGGCTGGGTGGGAAGCAGGCGCCGGGGCCAGGGCGACTGTGGATCCTGGACGCAGAGCCGTCGGCGGGACACAGCCGCGCCCTGTCCCTGTCTCCCGGATGAGCACCCCACAACCCATGTCCCGTGAGGACCGCCCACCGGGGGCTGAGCCCCGTCTGACTGCCCTGGGCGGGTTTAAACCCCAGAGGACAAACTCCCCGCTTTGCAGCTTCCCCTCTGGCTGGGGACTTTCAAGCTCTCAACGAAAGCAGTTTCAAGTAAAAGGTGAAAGCTCCTTGGGGCGTGGAGGGGAGTGGATCCCGCAAGTGGAAAGGGTGCTCCTGCACGTGGCTGCAGGTCCGAGCCATCGTGGTTTAGGGTGCGGGCTGTCTGGTCCACACAGCGACTCCCGGACGTGGCCTGAGCCCCTCTGTTTCCTGCGTGGACCGTGGACCTTGCCAGCGGCTGTCTGCAGGTCAGTATCGGCCTCGCTGAATGATCTCTGCTGAGTGGTGTCGGTAGCTGTTTCCAAGGCTGCAGAGTCTGGAGTCAATTTCGGGGGACGTCTCCCTCCAGATTCCTGGGAAATGTGTTCCTGTGGCCGACGGCCATCAGTCGTAGAGAGAACGTCTCGTTCCTTGGGGGGGGGGGGGGGCTGCAGGCACAACTTCACACAGTGACACGGTGGCCGTGTCTCATGGTGATGCCCACAAACTTGAAACTGCACATCGTGCTCAGTTACGGGAAGATCAGTGCCTCACCCTGTAACGCTCGGCAGAGAGGGCGCGGCACCCAGCCCGCCTGACGGTGTCTGCTGACGGATCTGCGTTTCTGCTGCTCCGCAGATTCAGGGACTGCCCACGGCTCACCCTGCGCCAGCGTCCCCTGCCCGCGGCTCACTCTCCGCCAGCGTCCCCTGCCCGTGGCTCACCCTCCGCCAGCGTCCCCTGCCCACGGCTCACTCACCGCCAGCGTCCCCTGCCCACGGGCTCACCCACTGCCAGTGTCCACACTCTTAAGACCAAGTGATTCTTACAAGAGGCTTGGTCGCCGTCCTACAGCGGGAGCCGCTGCGGAACAGACGTCCCGGAATCCCACCAGGCGCTTCCCTGCAGTACGTGGTGCCTCCAGCAGGGGGGCGGTGAGCAGTCAGTGAGCAGTGAGAACAGCCCTGAAGGGCAGAGGCAGCTGGGAGGGGGCAGGGGGCTGAGGACAGGCCCCAGCCCCGCGCAGACCCCGGCTTTCAGCAGCTGCTCCACGGCTGAGCAGAGGTGACACATTTCGGAAGGTGACGGACCGACACTTTCACAGGGGTTTTCTGGGGCCTCAGGAGCACCGTGCCACCTCTTGGGGACTGGGCGCCGGGAATCTTCTCTCCCTGTTCTGCGGTGTAGACGTCCAAGGTCAAAGTGTCGGGGGGCTGCTGAGGCACGCCCCGCTCCAGCCTCCCTCCCGCTTCGGGGGTTTGCTGGACACGCCTGGCTCGTAGACACCTCAGCCCGGTCTCTGCCCTCGTCTCCGCCGGCCCCTCTCCGTGTGCGTCCCTGCCCACCCCTCCCCCCGTGAGGACGCAGCCCTGCTGGGTGGGGACCACCCGCTCCAGCATGACCTCATCTCAGCTAGTTTCATCCGCAGCCACCCCACGTCCAAATATGGTCACGTTCCAAGTCACCAGAGGCTGGGTCTTCAGCACGTGACTTGGGGATGCCTGTCGGCCTGTAACAGGGACCTCAGGTGGTTGACAGGGAAGTTAAACGAGGTGAGAGCTAGATTTACTAGCCTACGGGACACATGATTTCCGGGTGTGGCCATTAGCGGGTAATCCAAAGGAATTCCTCACAGGGTCGCCTGAACCGTGGTGAACGTTAGTTCCGTTAGACGCAACCGATCTGTTACAAAGCGTGTCACTAAAATACCAGTTGTGAGACAGACGGTAAACTCACTGCCAGGGACAGAAGTCAAGGCAGAGGGGGCCTTGGAGTTTAAAGCAAATGGGTGCCGGCTCTGCCAGCGCGACTCAGCGAGGGGACGGGGAGAGGGGAGCCGTCACAGGTGCAGGGCTTCACTTAGGACAGAAGCAGGGCCGCGGCTGACTGTGGTCGGTCACACCCACGGAACACAGCAGTGGCGTCACAGAGGTGACAGCTGACTGCTGTGGTTCTGGGGTTTGGCTATTTAGAAACCTGCTTCTGTAGGATGTAGGAACATGGGGAGACGTCCCTTCCCAGGTCAGGCGGCAGCCGCCTCTGAACACGCCGGAAGTGGCCGGGAGCCACGGACGTGCCCACGTGTGGAGGTCACTGCATCACTGGGAGACAGGAAGGACACAGCAACGTTGAGAGCCTCGGGGGCCATGGGGCGAGGCTGCAGGGACCCGCCTACGGCGGGGGCCACGGGGCGCATGGCAGCAGGGCAGACCGCAGGGGCAGTCGTGGACCTGGTGCAGCAGACGCTCCGCAGGTGGGGAGGGGCGGTCAGACAGCATGGGCACGGCTTCTTGCACTTAACGCACACGAGAAAATTCAGCAGGAGTCTGAGCTCGATTCCCACGAGCTGCTAGTGAGACAGGGGCAGCGAGGGGGCAGATGCCCAGATGGGCTCCTGGGGCCCTGTCACCAACTCCCCAGCTCCCGGGTCCCAGAGTCTGCCCTGCAGGGGGGCTGCAGCCGGAGACGGGTTCTTATCCAGAGGACTTAGTTCTCTGAGAATCCGGGGGTCTCGACTCCGAAGGGAGCACTTCCTGTGGCCTTTAACGTTCCCAGGACCCCTGCCCCAGGTCTATGCCCGTGGACCCCAGCCCTGGGTCTACACCCAGGAAACCCCATTCCCCTGAGACTGACTACACCTGCGGGACCCCAGCCCCGGGTCTATACCTGCGGGATCCCAGCCCCGGGTCTACACCCTCAGGACACCAGCCCCGGGTTTACACCCGCAGGACCCCATCCCTGGGTCTATACCTGCAGGCACATGACTCCCTGGACGTGAGGGACACTGTTTGAAGCATAATAAAGAAGCAGAACGCCTAATGCTTCGTACAGAACAGCTCCGGGGAAGGAGGGCTTGGGGTCCTGCTCCCCCACACTGGCCTGCATGAAAGAGCAGCCCTGCCCCCTGGGAGGAAGTGGCACCCTGTCGTCAGGAGGGAGAACTTACCACCTGCAGACCGCCGTCCAGGTGACACCTGCCAGGCCGCCGACCAGCAGGGCGCCCAGCGCCATGGAGACCCAGGACGCCTTCGGGAGCCTCCCGGAGTCTGGGGACAAGGAGCCAGTTAGGGAGCTGGCCGGCCGAGGGTGCAGCCAGTGTGCCCCGCGAGCCCGAGCCCACCGTGGTCCCGAGGGCCCGCCTCTGCTGGCGGCGGTGTGGCGCACCTGGGGGCAGCTATCTGCCTGAAGCAGCCATTTCAACAGATGGCTCCCCCAAACGTGAGGTGTAGGGAGAGCGGTGGAGAGCACAGGGCACGTGAGCCCCGTGGAGAGGTGCTGGGGGCCTAACCCTAACCCGAGCGGGCAGGTGGGGGGAGGCACAATGTGACGCCACGAGCTCACCCAGGTGGAGGGTGACCTCTATCAGCAGGTGGCCAGCTATTGGCGCCTGTTCATTCCGGAAAGAAACTGAGTAGGGTTGATGGGTACAGACTAGAAGAGGTCCTGGCCTGACGGGGGGGGGGGGGGAGGAGCAGCGAGTGTGGGGAGAGGACGGGACGGTGTCCCCACACTGGAGAGGACAGGACGGTGTCCCCGCGCTGGAGGGGACGGGACGGTGTCCCCGTGCTGGAGGGGACGGGACGGTGTCCCCACGCTGGAGGGGACGGGACGGTGTCCCTGACGCAGGAGAGGACGGGAAGCTGCCCCCGCATTACCTCACACTTCATGAGTGTCGTGTCTGTCCCGCAGCCAAGCTGAGGTCAGAACTGGCTTGTCTCCCCCCCTCCCCACCCAGAGTCAGGGGTCGTGGCACAGGGAACACGCACAGGGCGTCAGGGGACAAGCATCTTGGAGGATCACCTGCAGCCGTCTGGAAGGTGCACTGCAGACGTGCTCAGGACGCTCGAGGAGGGGGGCTCACCTGCACACGTCGTTCCGTCCTCTCCCAGCACGTACGGGTCGGTGCACTCACAGCGGAAGCTGCCCTTGGTGTTCCGGCACCGGGCCGAGGGGTGGCAGGGGGGCTGCGCCACGTCTGCACACTCGTTCACATCTGCACGAAGCACGCGGGGCTCAGGGCCGACCCTCCCGGCTCCCTGTGACACCCCTCCCTGTGACATCCCGCCCGGCTCCCTGTGAAGCCCCCTCCCTGTGATGCCCCCCCAGCTCCCTGTGACATTCCCCTCCCGGCTCCCTGTGACGTCCCCTCCCTGTGATGTCCCCTCCCCAGCTCCCTGTGACTCCCCCCCACCGGCTCCCTGTGACACCCCCCCCAGCTCCGGCTCTCACCCAGGGTGCACGACGGGCTCCCTGAACTGCTGACAACTGAGCACAAGAGCCCCCTCAGGCCCTGTGGGGCGTGTCCCTCTCGGGGGAGCCTCTCCGGGAGCACCTGCTTCCTCCTCGCCGGTGGGTGTCCCCCGGCCTCTGAGGTCAGCCCAAGAGCTGGTCGGCCACCTTGCGACGCTGCTGCCCAGTACGACCGGGCCGTGTGGTGGGTGTGCGGGCAGGGCTGTTCCTGGCACGGGCGCCCAGGGTGCGGGCTGCCCTCATCTGGGCTTTCCCCACGTGTAAATGGGTGTGATTATGCACATTCGAGGGGTCAGGGGTCAAGGCTGCAGTGCGACTTTTGGGGGACCTTCTGTGCCCAGGCTGGGGGCTGTACTTTCTGGTCGTCCTGCCAGGGGAAGCCGCTGGGCATGTGGGACAGACCCACAGGGGTCTCACGCACCCCCAGTGTCCCGGATTCCTGCACGGATCCACGCGAAGCCCAAGCCTCACTTACCTGCCCAGGTGTGTCTCACCCCCCCACCCCCCGAGCTGGGGGTGCTGACCCAGGCCTCCCCGTCCAGGAGACGCAGGAGCCACAATTTGTATTCATCGATCACACACCCTCCGGGCAGCAACAGCGCAAAGAGCCAGACACACAGCCTTGGATCCATCTTGAAGTCCCGACTCGGAAGCCCTCACAAGAGTCTCATTACAGTTAATCCCTAGCTCCTTTTCCCACCAGCCTTTCTTGCGGACAGGTTAGCGGAAAAGCAGGGTGAGTGAAGACGGGGTGCGTCTCCTCTGATCCGTGCACTGAATCCTCAGGTGAGCTTTCCTTTCCTTTCTGCAGCCGTGACTGTGGGCCGTGGCCATGGGCCGTGGCCTTGGTTCACCAAGGACGGTGGCAGCTGTGATGTTCACACCAGTTCACCCCACGAGGGAAAGCACTCCCTGCACTGTGTTCGGTCTGTTTCTCCTTGACTTAGAAACTCCCAGCGCAGGGCACAGATGGGGTGAGAACACTGTGCACAGAAATAGCGCATTTATACCATGGGCTGCTCCGCGTGAGTTCTCCGGAATTTGTTTAAACTTATATCTTAATCCTTAACGCCTTAGTACAAAACACGGGTCCTGTGAATAAAAGGCTAATGCCCTCTCCTTCCTCATCCCGTCTCCCTGTGCCAAGTTTGAAACCAAGGTTACTGAGTCCTCGTCTTCATGAAGGCATTTCAAGTATTTCACAAGTAGGCTCCTCTGGCCCCAGGCGGTTCCCAGGGTGCGGCGCTCCTTGACGCGCGTCTCCACGGACGGTACGGCGCCAGGGGACGTGCTATAGTCCATGCTGCAGACGCACCCAAATCCACACCCCCTGCCCTTGACTCCCTGTTCGTAACGTGCGTGTGAGCCTCGTGCTGCGCCTGTAACTGAGGCGGCCGGGCGGGGTGCGCGGGGGCGCGCGCCGGGTTCAGTCAGAGGCCGCCCGCCCCAGCTGGTAGCCTTGCAGGCAGCTGCAGACTCAGGAGCTCCGGCGCCCGGGGCACCTGTGAGCCGACGGCGCTGCTGGCGGGCAGTACGGCGGCCGTGTGCGGGCAGACGCTAAGGAAGAAAATGCGTGATGGGAGGCGGGCCGAGAAGGGGCGGCCGAGGACGAAAATCCGCCTAAATCATCAGTGGGTCCCTGTGAGCTCTGTGGAGGCGAATCTCGGACGTCTCCGGGCCGCGGGAACGGGGCGGGTCCCCCAGCCTCTCCGCTCACCTCCTGCTCGTGCAACTCGGGGCACAGCGGCTTCCCAGGCCAGGCCTGTGCTTGGCGCACGTCCCTCAGGCCCCCCCCCCCCCACGACAGGGCCCTGGAGCCGGGGACCCCGCCGAGCAGGGGCGCGGCCGGCACTGCGGCCGCTGTGGGTGCTCACGTCTCCGCCGTCTGTCTCGCGCGACTCAGAGCCAGAAGCGTGTGACCACGGCAGCCCCTCGGGACGAGACGCTGCTGCCCCCGAGGCCGGCGCGGGGATCTCTGTCACTGCGGTGAGGCGAGCGAGAGGTGACACTGCTGCCTGCACTTCCGCCGTCCGCGCCAGAACGTGCGCCTCCTCCTGGACGGGAACCCCCGCGGCTCCGCTCTCGCCGGGAGTCCGGCCTCCACGCAGGGCTCGGCTGCAGACACGTCCATTCCGCCCGCTTCCCCGCGGGGCCGGCCTCGGACCCGCACCCCGGCTCGCGCCCGGCCCCCCACGCCCCCGCCCGCACCCCGGCTCGCGCCCGGCCCCCCACGCCCCCGCCCGCACCCCGGCTCGCGCCCGGCCCCCCACGCCCCCGCCCGCACCCGGGCTCGCGCCCGGCCCCCCACGCCCCCGCCCGCACCCCGGCTCGCGCCCGGCCCCCCACGCCCCGCCCGCACCCGGGCTGGACGAGCGAGCAGGGGTGACCCGGGGGCGCCTGCTCCCCCCACGCACTGGGGCTCTGGCTGCGAGTCCGCACCCAGGTGCGCGGGCTGGGCGACAGGTGTGACCCAGGGCGATCCGGAGCTGAAGCCCTTCCTCCTTCAGGTCTCATTTGAGAGTCTGGCTCTAGAAGCTTCTCCAGTAAGTACTAACTTGTCCCTAACGCGTGTGTGGTGCCGCCCGCTGACTGGACACAGGTCCGCGCATCCCCCCCCCCCCCCCCCGGGAGGCGCCGCGCTGACTCCTGGGTTGACGCGCGCAGGTTTGGGGGTGAAGCCCGGAAGCGCGGGGCAGGAGCACTGACCTCTGCACACGGGGGGCCGGAACCGCCCGTCCCCGGGGGGGCAGGCCACCTGCTCGGGGCCGTGCAGCTGAAACCCGTGGCGGCAGGAAAAGACCAGCGCGCGCTGCCCGGACTCGCCGCACAGCGCCCAGTGCCCGTCGTCCAGGCCGCCCCGCAGGCCGCACGCGTCGCCTGCGCAGGGACAGAAGGCGGCGCCCTCAGCGCCCGCTGCCGGCTCCGCCCGGTCACCTCCCGCCCGCGGACCCCCACCACCCGCGGGGTGGTTCAGCTGCGCATGCGCGACCGGGAGCCTGGCCTCAGGGCCGCCCCACCCCCCTCAGCACGCGGCTCCGACCAGTGCCCAGGGTTTGCACCTTCCCCCTGCGTAGACCCTCCCTGGAGGGGGCCTTCCCGACTGCGGCTCCGCTCAGGGCTCGCACCTCCCCTCTCCTCACCTCCTCAGGCCCTCACTTCCCTCCCCTCCCCCACCTCCTCACCTCTTCACCTCCCTCACCTCTTCACCTCCACCTCCCCCACCTCCTCACCTCCCTCACCTCCTCCTCACCTTTTCACCTCTTTCACTTCCCCCACCTCCTCACCTCCCTCACCTCCTCCTCACCTCTTCACC